ATCCCAGTAATTTTAATTCATGGAGGGTGGTTTATATATAATCCTAGTTTTTCTCTTTCACAGTGAAGGGGGGAGGAAGCCCCTTCCCTCTGAGCAGCTGACAGAGCTGTGATTGATTCTGAAGCAGATAAAGATATATTACATTCAGATATGTGACGGGAAAAGCCTGCCTCCGTGCCATGATTCACTTTTATATAAGAGGAATCAGTGCCGGCGCTGGTTCTTCCACAGGAAGATGTGACAGCTTTAATCCAGGGAGGCAGCAGTGTTCCTCGCTCCCTGAGCCCCCAGTGAGTCGACACTGAGCCCTGTGGAAATGTTGGCAGGTGAAACTTGTTTACACATCACACGCAAACCTGTGTGTGCCGTGTTGGCATGTGCGTGTGCATGCGTGTGTGTGTTTTTTGTTTGTGTGTGCGCGAGACGTGTTCTTTTCTCATTACAGAATGAGTTTATTTATCAGGGGAGAACAGCTAAACATGCAACAGACGGTTTGAAATTGATACAGTGTTTAGCAGAGGACGCTCTAACAGCAGATCTGTTTAAAATAAAGACGGATGTTATCTTTAGTGTTGGAAAGCAATAAAAATAATTGCAATAATTAGAGCCTTTGTGGTTAAATTAATATTAAACACATTATTTAAATCATTGTCAATATTTTCAACAACATAGAAGTAATTTTGTTGAAATTCACTGAATGAACTAGTGAAAAGATTTACATGTGGTGTTAAAAAAAACAAAAAAAAATTTTTTAGATATTTTTGATCCCTTTTGCCTCTGTACATTACATATGTAACTTATTACGTAATCTATATACCAGGGCCGTTGTAGCTAACGTAAGCTTTGTTGTGTGTACCAGGACTGTTGTAGCTTATGTTAGCCTTACTGTCTGTACTAGGACCTTTGTAGCTGATGTTAGCTTTGGCGCCTGTACCACAACCGTTGTAGTTAATGTTAGCTCGGGTGTCTCTACCAGGACCGTTGCAGCTAACGTTAGCCTAGCCTAGTGTCTGTACAGGTTTTACAAGAGGTCATAGTTTAAACAACCTGTATAAGCGTTACCACCGCCACCTACAGGCTGAATTGTGTAGGTGTACCAAAAAGTAGAAAATCTGGAAAGTTTTGATTTAAGGTCTCGTTTTGTCAGTAAATTATTATTAAGATTTAAAACCTTTAACTCCTGGCCCTTGCTGTTGTTTTATTGTAAATATTGATGACACACACACACACACAGGGTAGATTATCTTCCAGAAATAAGAAGTTCAATAACAAATCCAAACATCGCACTCCATAGTATATAAAGCAGGCAACATTAAATTAGTTCCAGCATCATTTATACAGCATTAAAGGAAGTTGAATTTGTTTTTTTGTTTATTTGCACCATCACGTTCTCCCTCTTAAAATAAAACGATCCAAAAATGATCTCCCCGGAGGACTCTGTCTTCATGTGATTATGAAAAAAGTAGATCTGAAAAAAAAAAACCCCACAACAAATCAGTCCTAAAGCCCTGCAGAACATGATCCCAGCAGTTTTTTTTTTTTAGCTTTAAAGTCTTTGTTTTGTTTCACATTTATTTATTGTGTCTTTTCTCGCCCCTGGGAGCGATAACTGCTGTTTGTTTGCCAATGTTTGAAAATTTGAATCTACAATGATATTTGCTCCCCTTCATCCAAGGACAATTAGTAAACAGTACAGTGAGATAACAGAGTCTGCCGGCAGCAAAGGCATGTGAATGAGTCCAAAATAAAACAGGGATGGAGTTTTTTACTTTAGTCTTTTTACTCACACACACACAGTTGTTCTCCATCTCCACATGCAGCTCAGGCTTCAGTTCACTCAGGAAACCCAATGATGGCTTTATGTAGCTCGACACTTCCTGAGAGACGGGAGCGTATTATGAGCTCTGATGTTGTAGAAGTTGTTCACAGGTAGCTGAACAGTCTGAACAGATCAGAGATCAGCTGAGCGTGAATCTGAGTTTGTCGGTACTACAGGCCAGATGGACATTTCCACAGGAAATATCGCAGCTCCAGATTATCAGTGATGCCTGGATGATAAACAAAGAGAAAGGAAAAAAAACAACATTTTTTTTCTTACTGCGAACTGAGGTCTGTGTCAATTTGAAAACACTTGGATTTCTTGCTTCAGAGCTCAGAGAGAAAATAAGAGATTTTTACATCACAGCACAGTTTACTTCTTTCTTTACTATATCATCTACAAGGAGCATTATACTAGTACTTGAGTACATGCACGCAGTACTACACACACATTTACTATTTCCCTTTTTACTTGCAGCGTTTGTCTGTATTTTGATAAAACATTCAAGATGAGGTGAAGTTCATCGCTGTTTTAAAGACGGTCCCAGGAAGTTGTTACCGGAGGGGCCACCAACCTGTGATTTAGAAACGAGTACAGCTGTCCAGGTTCAACAGTCTGTTTAGTTCACAACCAGGATGCAGTTTGTTGTTTTTGGGGAATGATCTCCTGGTACATTGCATTTGCTTTGAATACCTGATGAAGAAAGACTGTAGTATTAGTGAGTGTACACACATCATGGTCTAAAGCACAGTGAGAGCAGGTGGCTCACTGGGAAGGAGCCTGGAACATCAGGCAGTATGTTCACGGTCAAATCTGCTCCCAACATTTATGGGTAAGGGGAGTGGGGGGAGGGAGTCGGGGGAGTGGAGGGTGCGTCAGGAAGGACATCTGTCTGTGAAACTCTGCCAGGTCACCGAGCAGACTCTCACTGTGGAGACGGACAAAACAGAATTTATATTTGCTGGTTGCATATAAAAGGTTCGACCACAGCTTATCAATGCAATGTATGGTGTTGTAGTATACTTTACATAAATTACATTTTTACCATAACATAATATTAAATGAATAAAATGTATATTTGATAAATTAATTAGATATTAGTATAAGTATACATATATAGTATAAACATATTTATACAAATGTACACATATAATGAAGTAATAATATAATAAAATGTTCTTAAATCTTTGTAGTTTCACAGTTTTACATATTTAAGTACAACATCAGTGATGATTTTTACTGTTGTAAAAACACTGGAATGGTAAATATTTTATTCCTTTTTTATCATTTTTTAATTTATCTAAATAATAATGTGTTTCCTATTGAATATTTGTTGGTGATATGGTATTTTGGTTTGTTTGTAACACAAATCACTCAGAGACTGTGTTTTGCCAGCACTGATCATGTGTGTGTGCAGAGGTTGTCCTCTCGGGCCCTGCTGGACAGGAAGCTGGCTTTGGTTCTGTTTACAGTGGGCGCCCTCCCCCCGCCCCCGCCCCACCCAGGCCTCACTGGCATGGTCATGGTTGGAACATATGCACTTCCAGTGGGAAACCATCTGACAGGGCTGCTCTCTGACGACTGCCCGCCTCGTCTCCATATGTGGCAGACAGAAGGTTGTGGGCTCTCGCACTCACACCGCTGATGCAGCCCAGTAGCCACTCTGTGCTGTAACAGACACTATGTGTCTGTTAGAAAGCTTTGGTCAGGATACTGAGGGATAGATATTAACATTTTCCTATTTAACCTCAACACCTCTTTAAACCTCCTCCTCAAACCATCTCTACAAACCTCTTCCTCACACCTCCTCCTCCAATCCACCACCACTCTCTCATCTTCTCCCTGCTCACTTCACATTTTAGCCACGTAGCTCTTCTTCTCTGGAGCGCTCTCCTGAACTAAAGTCCAACTCATAGTTCCTGATAGTAGCAGTGCGGTGGGTGTGTGCCTGTGTGTGAGTGGGTTGGTGGTTGAGTGAGCGTAAGTGGGTGAATAGTACAACCATGAAGTCGAGCTTCTTCATGTTGGAGTATGGAGCCAATATTGTAGCAGAACGATCTGCAAATGTCTAAACAGATTTACAAATGCGTAAACAAAATCTGGTGCGTGTCACTAGATTTGCAAATGTAAAAAAAAAAAAAAAATCCAGCAATGCGTACATTAATCTGTTAAACATTAGAACCCCTGGCCTTTTTGCCGCAGCTCTTCACCCATGCTGCGTCATGTGACCCCTGCCCTGGGCTGCACAGAGGTCTACATATGCACCGCCATTGTGAACGCACAACAAGTGATAATGCTGGTGGCTTTCACTCGGCGTTATCAACCCTGTGTTGCTGATGGAGCTGGATAAGTGACAGAGCAACAGTGGAGACTTGATGAAAGGCAGACAGTATCTCCGGTGAAGACTCTTCTTCCATCATCTGCTTCTTCAGCGTTGTATCCATTTCAAACACAGCTCCACTCACAGAGTAAATAGACTGTGAGTTTCCAAGCTGCTTCACTTCTTAGACGCCTGCGGCAGAAATGTGCTGTTTCTGCCTCTTGTTTTTTGCCCCGGGGGCTGCAGCTGACCCACTTTTCTTTCAAGCCCAGCTCCTTCAGGATGTTAACAGAACAGTGAATATTTACAGTGGTGTGTTCAGAATCAATCTGAGATGATTAAGCCGTGAGTCTAGGAGGGTGTTGTGTCAGGAGGGGATGTGTGTGATTGTATGCCTGATCAGATCCTTCCGTGTTCACCGGGTGACCTTTGTGTAAAGGTCACACTGTCAACTGCTAAACTTTTTGCTGCAAACTTAGAATGAGATGTTCCACCACAGTCTCTCTTCTTCTTATTATTATTCTCCTTCTTAATCTGGAGACCATTTTCTGTCGGAAGATCGGATCTGCTCTGATAATCTGAAATACATAAGATATGTATTATTATTTATTTGTATTTAATGAAAAACATTTACAAAAATGTCCTGTGTATTTTTTTATTTAAAAAAAAAATTGAACACCCTAGTGGGCAGGTTCTGGCCCCTGGGCCATATGTTTCACACCCCTGATGTCCAAATGTCAGTCATGTTGTTGAATTTGATGGTAGTTGTTTGACCTCCGTCCTGCTCAGTTCAGCATCAGCACAAACTTCAACTGTATGATGATTGTTTACCAAATGTTTTTTTTGTTTTTCGTCCTGCAGGTGATTCTGATGCTGACCAAACTGTTTGACTTCAACCTCAACAGCGTGACTGAGAGTTCATTATGGAGGTGAGCCCGTCTCTCTCACACACACACACACACACTCCTGCAGCATTCGTAAACATGTAAGAACAAATTGGTCAGAAGAGGATTGCTGGACATCTTTTACAGTCCGCTGCTTTTAAATCCGTGGTTTGAACTGCTCCCAGCTCCTCTTTTAGGTCCTCAGAATACCAACACCCACCAGGATCTCAGCACAATAATGACTAAAATGTTCAAAGCTAATAAAAGAGGCAGCAAAGGCGGTCAGAGAGAATGGACTTCTCTTGAAAGACTCAGCGCTACTGCCCTTGAATGGTTTCAATGTCTGTGGGCACCAAAGATCCCCTGCATCAAAGTGACTAATCAGCAGCACCGTGGCTGCCAGTGTTATTCAGTAAAAAAAAAAAAAAAAAACCTTGAGCAGTCTTGAACGCAGCACAGCCTTGTTCTCACTCTCAGCCATTTCTTTTGGACAGAGTTCTGACATCTTTGTGGAGGAGGGCTGTCGGGAACAAACGCTGCCGTAGTAGAACCGGAATGCAGAGATATGTGGAAAGTCATTATCAGTTTGGAATTCTGTACATACGTTTTCATTAGCGATCGCTGCAAATGAAGGCTAGCACCGTAGGCATTAACAGCTCCATCCAAGAAAGAGTATGAAAGGAGATTAAAGAATGTTGAAAGGAGCGATGACAGGCCAAGGATTTTAATTTTATCCTGGACATTACCAGAGAGTTGCCGTCTTACACTGAGAGCTGTCCAACTTCCGGCATTAACATAGGTGATTCTGATAACAAACAACATTCACTTCCTTTAAGTCCATCATAGAATTCACCTTTACCTCTGTTCATTCAGCATGAACAATCATGGTGATTTACTGAGCCGACCTCCTCAGAAAAGTGCATTAATCCATTCAGTCCACAGAGAACTGTGTGACAGAACTCTGTTTACACTTCATTTTCACACATATGAAACAACTCAGTTCCACAGTGGCGCCATTTCTCATTTGCACCTTGATGACCCAGCGATCCAAATCATTCTGAGCAGTTGTGATAAAAGCTAATGCACTGACGTCTAAGAAGGAGATTGTAGCCATATTCTGAATAAAGTCTGCTCTTATGAGACTTTACATCTCAAAATATCTGCCCCAATGAAACCTGAAAGTTATATTACTCAGCATTCAAAGGCTCTTTAGTCCTCCATCACTAGCGTTTAAATTTTTATTTTGTGACTTTAGGTTTGAAAATATTTGGATCAGATCAGTAGAACTGGAGTTCCTGGTCCTGCAGAACTATCACTGAATTTCTTCTTTATTCTCTTGTTGATTGAGGACAGCCAAGGGCAACTTTTCTTTCAGAGGAATTACTAATATTATGGGTACTGACTCCAACAGGGTACTTTTTTAAACCTTAAGTTACAACAAATGTTAAAGGGTGCAGTGTTCAGCTTTGTGGCGTTTTTCAGGGCTCCGTCTCAGATCCTTTGCTATTGTTACTCTAAATATTCACTGGGCACAATTTTTACCACACACACGGAATTACCATTCCGCAATTTGCGGATGACATACTCCTGTTCCTTTGTCTACAATTGCACTTATACAGTGGAACCTCGGTTATCGAACACCTCCCTTTCAAACAATTAAGTTTTCGAACAAAATGTGTTATCACAAATTGCTCTGGTTGTTGCACCATAACTAGGTTGCCAAACAAGCACACAATATCACGCAGGCAGCGAGTGATCACTGAGTGACTGAGTGTGTGGTGTCAGTCCTGCCTCAGCCCACACTTGGGATACACACGCTAAGAACTGTTGTCTGATCTTTCCAGTATTTCTTGTGCTGTGCTATTTGGGGTTTTTTTGTATTCCATAAATCACCATGGGACCTATAAAAGCTAGTGTGAGTGGAAAGGCAAAAAAAAAAAAGTAGGGTCGTCGATTTATACCATCATTAAGAACAAAGAAGCATAAAATAAGCTTGCCAAAGGAGTGACTGTGATCACCAAGCAAAAATCTTAGACATTAGTAGAAGTGGGGGAAAAAAGGAGTTGGCCGGTGACAGTATTTCGGAGACAATAATTTGTGAATAACGAAAATAAAATTGTCTTTCCTATTGATAGCGTTATTCAGTTGTTTTTATGTTTTTAGATTTAATTATTTCCGTTGGTTTTGTGTATGAACTTGTACTCGTTTCAGTTTTCAAACCTTTCGGTTCATGAACGGCCTTCAGGAACGAGTTAGGTTAGAAAACTGAGATTCCTCTGTATATCATTGTCTATCATTTCTACTGGACTCAAATGGCTGGATATAATTACATGTTCTAGGTCCAAATAGGGGCAAAAGGTATTTAAAAAAACAACTTTTGCAGCCAAATTTATTCCCAATAGAACTTTTTGTGACTATTGAAAGCTTGTTAGGTAAACACAAGCATCATTTTTTATGGTAATTTCTTGCATATCCTATGTATGTTCTTTGTAAATACTTGCTGGTGTTTAAAGATTTTGCTAATATTTTTATCATTTATTAAAAGAAAACTGTAGACAGAATAAGAGATAAAACCTCTGCAGAATCCCATTAAACAGTGAGGTGGATGTAAACGGATGAACTCCACGGGGTGTTGGTCCTCGGGGGAGTTCCTCTAAATTCGTATAAATTCAGAATGTAGAGGAAAAGTACGTTCATACACAGAATACTCACACTTTGAGCCTTCGTCCACAGTTAGGGCAAATCTACCACATTGTGGCTGCTGTTTACCACACGAAGAATAAAGTGAGGCTGCAGCTCAGTGTCTGCGATGGCACTGCATTACTTTTTAATGTAACCTCTATTAGTGACATTCTTTCACCTGTTATAAATCTGCTGTCCTGGGAAAACAAAGCCTTAAGTAATAGATGGATGATTAAAAGGTGCTTGTGGATGCTGGAGCAGAATGACAGGAAGACTGATGGGCGAACAGATGATAAGCATTCTGAGAGAGCTGGGAGGATAATGAGAGTGAGTGCATTGGAGAACATTAGTGTGCGATTTACAGGCGGGGAGGAAGGACAGAGCAGCAAAGTGACAGATGAGTGCGTTTTAGATTTCCAGAGCTCCACAGCTCCTTGGGGAGGTTCCGCGGGTCAACTGCCTACTGCGGCAACAGACACAAGCATGAGGCAATCTCTTGAAATACTTCAGGTAAACCTTTTATATCATGTGACTGGCACGAATCTGTCGACAGAGTCATAACTGGGCTTAGCTCTGGACAAATTTGCTCCAAGTTCTTTTTTTTTTTTTTCAAGTCATATGGAAGGAATGGTTCACAGTTAAACGGTGCTGTAAGTACTTTCTGGAAATTAACAGACCCTATATACATGTACGCATGAGTACTTCAAACTGTCGTTAATCAGACTCACGGCAGAAAATGAAACGGCTCAGTAGGAACTGAGGAAAACCGTACGCAAGAATCTGAAGTCATTATATTTGAAACTCCATCTAATAAGTAAGTTCAGACGTAATTCTAATTTAGCCCACAGGGTGTTAGATGGGAGGATCAAAGAGGGGATGGCCAGGCTTTTGGTGTCTGTGTGTGGGGGGTATATGTCAGCGTGTCCTCAGATTAGCTACACTGCTGGGGTCGACAAAAAAATCCTGCAGTTGGACGTTTGCAGATGTCCAATCAGTGAGGAACTGTTTTGAGGTTGAAGGTTTAGGTTAGTGTTAGGGTTAGAGTTATAATCAGATTATGTTATATGTTAAAGCAGGGGTTCCCTAACCCCTGGTCGGGGGACCGGTGGTAGTCCATAGGTCATTTGGTACTGGGCCGCAGTGGGACACAGTGAGAAATTGTATTTCAGTTTTACTAATTTACTTCATTCAAAAAGAATGCAGTCATATGCCTTTACTTTTTTTTCTCAAAGATAATCTGACAATGTTTCATTCAATGTCTCTCAGTGTTATTTTCCACCTTCACCTTCAGTCTCTGGCGTAAAATATTTTGTTGAAATTACGCCTCCACATAATCAGTGAACAGCTTGTGAACACACAAATGTCATTCAGACACGTCGTCCTTGGGAAACACTTTCCATCATTTTTCATTTAATGTAACTTTCACCTTGCTGGGAAAAAACAGTGACAGTGGGCTGTTTTATTGGTCCATGACCAGGGTGCTCTGACATTAAAAAAAGTCATTGGCTCTTAAATCAGACTGCGAGACTGGGACCATCGACAGTCTGATGTCACTGTCCGTGGATTGGACGGTGATGGCTGCTGATGAATTGTTCTGGACTCGAGCAGGAAGGGTTTTTCTTGGGGCAGTGGTTCCACTCTCCCGCTGACACCGAATGGACCGGTACCTGTGACTAACAGTGTCAGTGTAGCTTTTATAAACTAGAGGGTCATGTGTAGTTCAAGCTTTGTCCAGACTCACATATCAGAGCAGCAGAGAAAGGGTAGGAAAAAACACTTTTATTTACAAGGAGGGACCTTCGAAAAGACTACAAGAGACAGAAAAAAACATGTAAAACTGAACAGAAATATGAGCAGAAAAAAAAGAACTGTTTCAAAAGATTCAAGTATTCCAGAAATACAAACAAAGATTGTACCGGGCAACATTTGAAAATACACTACTGGCTCAAGAGTACTTCACATGAGTGAAGTACTGTTGAACAGTGATAAAGGACTGTACACAGTACAAAAAAGACGACAACAGAAAATCCACTGTGGCGACCCCTGAAGGGAACAGCCCGAAGAGGTAGAAGAAGAGTGCATTGATGTTGATATTATTTAGTAAAATAAACCAATAATGGCAAATGTAATTAATCAACTGTAATTACTCATTACAAAGCCTATTAATTAAGTGGTTTTTTTTATTGTTTACTTCATACTGCCTATCTTCTGTGCATTTACTGCCGGGTTTGAATGCAGCTGTTCACTCTCAGATATAGTTTTACCGCCATGTTGAATCCTCAAAGGCTAATTTCCCTCTAATACACTCTTCTACTGCTAATCTGCTAGTTGTGAGTATTGAACCCAATTTTTTATTATTATTGATGTGTGTGTATATATATATGTGTATATATATATATATATATATACATATATATATACATATATATGTTTATTGATGCAAGTACAAGTCTACTGTGGTCTACAGGAAAGTACAACATGAGCCTGTTTTGTTTGTCAGAAAGCGCTGCTGATTAAAATGACATCCTTTTGCAAATGTGTTTTTTAAGTGCAGGCTGGGTTTATCAGGTGCATTTGAAGAAAAACTATGTGTTGCGGAAACAAGGGATTTTTGTTTGACCTACCGCTTCATCTGAAGACAGATTTAAATAAAAACAACTTTGCAGGGAACCTGCTGCATTTTTAACATTTGTTCCCTATTGCTATGTTTTGGAGCTGTCATTTTTCAGCTCCACTCCTAAACACAGGAACTGCTCCTTTAACAGAGCCTCCAGTCGTTATTAGCACTTAGTTATTAGTAAGTATGGCGAGGCAGAGATGAATGGACTTTTTGATGAAGCATTTAAACCCATTCGTCGTCTGATTAAAGTTTATTGTTATTTTTGATGACTACTCATCAAGTCATTTCACGCTGCTTTACAACAAGTCTGTGCTATTGTCTGGTGGCTGCGTTTGAGTAAATCTTTAATTTGATTTAAATGAAATAAATATAATCTCCAGATTGTACCGAGAGACCTTTCCTAAAATCACTTTGCCCGATTTAATCAACGTGAACAAGAAAATAAAGGAAGAAGTTTTACGGGGGGGGGGGGATCATTGAGTATTTCCTGTGATGGACTGGTGGACTTTGGCCTTTTCACCCTCTCGCCCTCTGTTGAATGCAAGCTACCTTCAGATGCACACTCTCTCTGCCTGCGGTGCTTCTGTTAGTGTCCAGGATTTTAAATAAACTTCCCATATACTTTGGATCATTTGCAAATAGAAAACTCAAATGTCAATGCTACATAGCAGTGATGCTTTAAGTTTTATTATTATATTCCTTGAGCACAGACACTTCCTGTCTACACACCAAGTACACAGGTTTCCCATTCATTAATAAACAGGTAGTGGTCCATTTCTACACTCCGTGTAACACGTATCCACTTCTGTCCTTTTTGGTACACATTTTGCCTAATGGAAGGTGAGTAGAAAACAAGTCAGCCAACATCGTAATTAGCAGGAGGCTTCTACTGTGATTAAAACTGTGTGCCACGAGTGGACGATTTAAGAATAGCTATTTATGATGTTTATGTAAATACGCTCTTCATATGCACACACATACACACACACAGATTTCTAAGGTACACCAGTGACCGTGCGCTCACTGTTCTTTGTGTCGCCCTAATTACATCCAATGTACCTCCGCTTTTAATTGTGACCAAAACTTCATCAAAACTTTGTGATTACGTTTCAGGTCGACCGATTACGGAGCCACGTACCAGAAGCTGAATGACAAAGTGGGAGCCAAGACAATCCTCAGTTACTTGTATGTGAGCCCAAACAACAAGAGAAAGGTAAATGACTTCCTCCCTCTGGGTTTTGATAATTGTCTGGAGCCTTGGAGCTGATCTCTCTTTCTCCCGCTCCACTGCCTGTTGTTTGGTGCACAGTGTGTGAAGTCGACCACGAGCAGACACGCTGAAACCATCTGACCCGTTCTTCTCTGTTTGATTCTGCCTCTGTCTCTGTCTGTCGCAGCGGCAGTAAACAAATCGTCCTCCAGGCTTTGAAAGTTTCTTTTCTTCACACCTGTCTTCATCAAACCAAACCAAGCAAATAGTGGATTTTATTTGTTTACACCTCGATGGAAAGTTTTGAAAAGGAATAATTACACAGTCAAAATTATACATTTAAATTATATTAGCATTTGAGTGGAAAGTGTATTTGGTATTAATACTACTATTAACTACTTGGGAAATATTGTTGCAGGTTGGAGTATGCGGGCAGAATTTTCTTCAATACTTTGTACTTTATTAGAAATCTTGCACTGTGAGTCTGGAACAGTAGTTTTGTGTATTTCATCGTGTATTATTTATAATATAAATCCAATTAGAAAATAACAGACTCAAGGATGACCTCCTTCCGATGAAACGGGTATTCTGGTCTCTGAATGGAGGCGTGGGTTCGAATCCCACTTCTGACACATATTTCCTGAAGGGAAACTCCTGACACATTCATAAAGTTCAGTTTTACCTTTATTTAAAAAAACTGGTGAACTGAGACAGCTGTATTTTCTTAATTGTGAAGTAGCCTGTACCTGTAGTATCAGCTGAGAGAGAGGCTTTGTCCTGATGGTGAGGGTCTCTCACAGGGACCTTGGTGTTTAGAACGTAATGATTAGAAACCACTTAGTTTCTAATCTCAGCTGCTTCAGAGCTGGATGGAGGAACAGAGGCCAACCACTCCACCTGGGCTTTAAACAAATTAAAAGAAAATGTGAGCGTTAACAGGTTTTTCGGAGCCCACATTCATTTCCATCCACTTGTTGAGGTTCTATAATGGCTCTGGTCCATTAGGAGTCTAGATGTTTCTTTTTCTCTTCCGCCTGTTCTGCCGTCTGGGTTTTAGACAAATACATAGATACATAAATTTGATGTTGTACTGACCTGTATTTTTTAAATTTGTTTTTACAATTAACATGCAAATATTCATGGAGTTGGTTTATTTTAGTGTTGCATTTAAACGTCTGACCACTGACATTTTAGTAACCTGATGTTAAGCACGGAACAGCATTGTGTTTACTATGCTGACAGGTTTCCTACAATAATTGTTGAAAAAAACCCTCAATATATCATCATGTCTATAGTATCGCAGTATATCGTAGTTGTCATGTTTCCCATGGATTGTATCGCCAGATTCTTGCCAATACAAATCCTATTTTCTACGTTCTTCTCTGAATAAGAGCTGCACAAACGGTGTGTTTGTGGACAGTCAGAAGTGGACCATAGTAAAAACAGTGACACGTGATGCATAGATACAGTAGTCGGTTAATTATCTTCATCTCACACGTGCTCACGGCCTTCGTGGATCTCATTTCCACTTTTTTTCCTCTGGTGCCAAAACAGGCCATTTGTAATGATTTATGAAAACACAGACACACACACACCTCTGTGTGTGTGTTTGTGTAGAAACGCTGAAGCCGCTCAGCCTACTGTAATTACAACCTGGCATTAGGAGAAAACGGGCGAGAGATGAGATCGTTGTGTTGTCAGGTCATTATCAGACTGTGATTAAACCCAGATCAGAGGTGGAACGTTAGTCAGGACGCGTCAGACTCACTTCCATGATGGGCCGAGCTGACATCAGCTGAGCCGGACAAACTGAGCCCACTCCTCTGTCTGGACCTTTTCCGGGCCTGTAATGGCCTGTTCCTGTTTAATTTGATTGTCGGAGTATAATGAGCAGCCGCAGGCTTGTACCTTCTCTCTGCTCTTTCTTTTTTATCCACTCCAGTATAAATGGAGCTGCTGTTGTTTACTGTAACTGCCAATAATGTGATGCGTGCAGTAAAAGCTCAGGCTCAGGCTCACAGCAACAGGATTAGAGGCATAAACAGAGTCGGGAAATCACACTTACTGTTCCTATCTGAGCCCAACGATTTCACCTACAACAAATTCAGGTACCAGCTTTCATTGGTGTACTTGCCAATATCAAGTGGCATCACCGATGCTTCTTCCAGTCCAGTTGCCTTTTATTTTACTCCTTTTAATTTACTGCTTCACATTGGGTCATAGTTAATGAGCCATGAGCGACAGTGAGGACACAGAGGATTAAAAAACTGTTTTACTGACACAAACTGTCACATCAGACACTATATTGTCTAAACTAAGGATGAATTCATTTTAAAAAAAATTTAAAAAAATAATTAGAATTTTCTTTTACAAGTAAACACAGCCAACTGATCAGAGAGGAAGCAGAGTTTTTACACTAGTTAAAAGTTTAATTTGAAAACACTGATTTTCAGTAAATCAGTAAAGTTACTTATACTTAAGTTACATACTTAAGTTATCGTGTAGAACTATTTCCATTTTTCAAAAATGAAATGAAAACAATTTTGCCTGTATTTCTTGCTCTGTGCTATTTCTTATGTTTGCTTTATTCCATAAATCATTGTGGGATGAAAAAAACAGTGAAAGTGGAAAGGCGAAAAGAAAAGTAGTGAGAACAACAATAGAAGTGAAGAAAGATTATACGAAAGCATCTGGCTTTACAGTATGGCAAAGTTGTTGATTTGTACCATCATTAAGAACAAGGGGATAACTAAGGTTGTCAAAGGAGTGACTGTGACCACTGCACAGGCGTTCCACACAGCTATTGGACCTCAGATGTACTCACTGTGCGTCTGTGCTGTTCGGTTCACCCATGATCCCAAAGCTATCCTTGAGAACTGTCCAAAGCCCTGACTGAAGTCCACTTGTTACCAAGGAAAACACTGTTCTGTACCAGGGCTCACTCTGCCGTGAAGTCCAAGCAGCTCTGGGAAGTCCTTAACAGTAAAAGTGTGACAGGTTATACATCAGTGGCATAACACCATCTCTGCAGCTGGGAGTGTTCCCTGCACCACTGTAAACAATAGGAGAGGTGAAAAAGAACAGGTCTGGAACCAGTTAGGGATTTTCAAAAAGTTGATGATCCAGCTGCAGGAGGAAATCAGCCATGAAGCAGCTCAGTCAGGGAGGTGATGAATGTTGGTTGGGTTGTCCAGTTCTTCTTTTCCTCGGGGCTGGTGCTGGGAAGAATGTGTGGACATGTAGTCTCGTGCAACCGGTGTTCTACTGGACTTTATATTATTCATGTTTTTCATGTGTTCAGAATTATTTTTCATTTTGACTTCAAGCCCTTAGACAGACCTTTTGGGAACCGTTCTGTCTGAAAGGAAGATGACAGAAGTGGGGATTATTTTAAAGTACAACTATTTGGGTCACGTCATTATGTCACAAAGTGGTACCACATTGTGATTGAACTACGGCAGTAGTTTCTCAGATTTGAGATGCACCTCTCCTCACCCCTGCAGAACTTCACCTGTCCTAATGAATGCAGATAATTGCATTTAAAAAAAAAGAGTTACATTTCGATTGTGCCCTTTTCAAAAGATACGTTTTCTCAGGCAGTTGCCATGGTAATGCATGGCCTTATAAACATGAAGAGAAAATAGGTTCTGGATTAGAGGAGGAAGTTGTCAAATATTCATGATCATATTTTTTCAGATCAGTTGTGGAGACTGTGACAACAGATATACATTTTTGTAAAAAATAAATAAATAAATAAAAAATCAACCTGAATCTAAGTCCTTGAAGTGGAATTATTTGGAAACACTTCCACTTCTCCTCCCCCCCCCCCCCCCCCCCCCCACACACACACACATATGCAGTGTATTTTTCTGACCTCCATACTTCTGGTACCTTTTACAATGGAGGACACATTCGGAGTCTTAAATGTAATAATCGTTGTTTAATGTTATGCAGTTCCGTTTAAAAAAAATGAAATGAGAAATTAGTTTTGAGTTTTGTTATGGTTGGATTTTGCTGCATTTGTGGACTCTGTCACTTTGACCCATCGATCGCTTTGAGTTATGTCTCGTTGATTACATTGTTTTTTGGCTGTGACTCAGTAAAAGTAAATTCACTCCATCTGCTGTGGCTTTTACATTCCCATCCTTAAAAAAGGAAACGAAACAGTAAAGAGCATCACAGCAGTATCTACAGTTGTGACTGTGAGCTTGCACAGTCCTGACTAAATACCAGTCCCTGAAGCCTACTTTCATATTGTCTGTTTAAGCTGTAGTGGCTCTCTCCGTGGTGCTGAAAAGGAGCAGCAACAAATGGTGCCTCCAATTTTTTTTAGTTAGTGGACAACTGTTAAATATAACTACTTGCAGCTCACATTCAAGTCGTTGTCTTCATACGTTAACATTTTATAATTCTTTAGTTTAACAGGCTGATAAATTCTGCCAAGCAACAGGCAGCAGATTTTGTAGAAGGTCGAGAAGTGGATTCTTTGGTAAAAAAAATAAATGAATAAATAAAATCTTGATGCCCAGCACATTAGTAATCATGCTGGAGACCTTGGACTGCGATTGACTTGTATTGTCCCACATGACAAAAACTAAAGGAGACTGTGTGGAACAGAAATTTAGTGATGGCTCTATACTTCTCTTTCAATTACCAGTACTGCAGCTTGTAGTATCTGCCTGTTTTTTTTTATGTTTGAACCTGAAATTTTGACCAATACCTGATCGATACCAATCTTCAGTATCAGATAGAACCATCCCTACATTCTGAGGATGTTGATGTTTTAGAGTTACTTCACTTGGACTGTAGTTGTTAATGTAAGATTGAAAAGCTGCTGTTCCGTCAGTACGTTTCCCCAACCTACGCACAAGAGAGCACAGTGGAACTCTGGGCATTGAACCGGTGACCTTTTTACTGTAAGACAAAAGCACAATCCACTTTCTCACCATGTGGCCCGGGGAAACTCACTACTTCATTAGAACACACTTCACTCTCTGCCCAGT